CCAGTACTTTGGCCACCTGATGAGAAGAACTGACTCACTGGAAAAGACCCTAATGCTGGGAAAGATTGAAGGAGGGAGGAGAAGGGGACGACAGAGGATGAGATGGTTGGATGGTATCATCGACTCAATGAACATGAGTTTGAGTGGGCTCCAGGAGTTGGTGATGAACACGGACGCCTGGCGTGCTGCAGTCCATAGGGTCGTAAACAGGCAGACGCAACTGAGCAACTGAACTGAATGTGGTTTTTAGAAAATTTTAAATTATACTTGTGACTTGTATTATACTTCTTCTGGACAGCACTATTCCAGACCTAAATGTACTTTTAAAATTTTAATTTTGTGGGGGGTTGGCCTCACTGCCTGGTTTATGGGATCTTACTTCCCAGCCCAGGTGGTGAGAGCACCGAGTCCTGCCCACTGGACAACCAGGGAGTTCCTTCATTTCTGATTTTCAGTAATTATTTATTGAAAAAAAATGACAAAACTCCAGCTGAAATCATTTTTTTAAATAGTCACATTTTCTTTATATATATGTATATATATGTAAATGTACATTCAGTTAAAGAATATATATTCTTTAATTGCAATATAGTTGATTTACAGTGTGTTCATTTCTGCTGCACAGAAAAGTGAATCACATATATACACACACATGCACACACACACACACAGACAATCTGTTTTTGAAATTGTTTTCTGTTATGGTTTATCATAGGATATTGAATATGGTTCTCTGTGCCATACAGTGGGACCTTGTTGTTTATCCATCCTATATGTAATAGCTTACATCTGCTAACTTCAAACTTCCACTCCATCCCTTCCCTACCTCCCCTTCCTCTTGGCAAACGTAAGTCTGTTTTTTATGTCTGTGAGTTTGTTTCTGTTTTGTAGTTAGGTTCATTTGTGTCAAATTTTAGACTCCACATATAAGTGATATCATGTAGTATTTGTCTTTCTCTTTCTGGCTTACTTCACTTAGTATGATAAGTGCTCCCCTGTTGCTACAGATGGCATTGATTTTTTCTTTTTCCTGGCTGAATAGTGTTCCATTGTATATAGGTACCACGTCTTTTTTGTCCATTCATCTGTTGATGGACATTTAGATTGTTTCTATGTCTTGGCTAATGTGACTTGTTGTTAGGTGTGCCCGTATCTTTTTAATTAGAGTTTTTTTCTGGATATATGCCCAGGAATGGGATTGCTGGTTATTGTTCATTCACTGAGCCATGCCCCACTCTTTGCGACCCCAACATGGACTGCAGCATGCTAGGCTTCCCTGTCCTTCACTCTCTCCTGGAGTTTGCTCAGGCTTACGTCCATTGAGTCAATGATACCATCCAACCATCTCATTCTGTGCCACCACCTTCTCCTCCTGCCTTCGGTCTTTGCCACAGCATCAGGGTCTTTTTTAATGAGTCAGCTTTTCGCATCAGGTGGCCAAAGTGTTGGAGCTTCGGCTTCAGCATCAGTCCTTTCAATGAATATTCAGGGTTGATTTCCTTTAAATTGACTGGTTTGATCTCCTTGCTGTCCAAGGGACTCTCAAGAGTCGTCTCCATCATATGGAACCTATGCTGTGGTACCATAGCACCATCATATGGTAATACTGTTTTTAGATATTTGAGGAACCCCATACTGTTTTCCATACTAGTGACTGTACCAAACAGTCACCAACAGTGACTGTAAACACCAACGGTTTATATTCCCACCAGTAGTGTAGGAGGTTCCCTTTTCTCCACATCCTTTCCAGCATTTATTTGTAATGATGGTCATTCTGTAAAATATTTTCTAATGGCATAGCTCGTGTCAGAAATGTGCATATGTGTGTGTGCATGCACACACTTGTGCTTGCTCAGTCCTGTCTGACTCTTTGTGACCCATAAACTGTATCCCACCAGGCTCCTCTGTCCTTGAAATTGTTCAAGCAAGAATACTGGAGTGGGTTGCCATTTCCTTCTCCAGGGAATCTTCCCAACCCAGTGATTGAACACAGATCTCTTGTATCTCCTGTTTTGGCAGGCAGATTCTTTACCACCTGGGTGTTTCTGCTTAATTTCTCGTAGGTTTATCATGATTTCTAATATTAATGCTTTATGTTTTGAGTTTTCATGCCTGTTTTCTCAAGCAGCTACTGACTATAAAGCACTTAGATCCATAGATCAGGAGAATACATTTGAGGTGGAAGAGGGATTCTGTTCTAACAACCTCAGTTTAAAAGTTCAGATAGTGAAGCTTGTAGGTATATATACCTTCCTTAACTAATAATAGTTATTTAATTGGAAAAGTTCACCCTTGAAAGAAATCCTGGGTACTTCTTTTTGTAAGGTAGAGATCACCTCACTAAAGTTATCCTCTTTTGAATAATTTCTTTTCCTTTGGTATACACCAGTGGTTCTTGGATTGATTTTTCTCCCTGCCAGACATTTGACAGTGTCTAGAGACACTAGAGGCTTCCCACATGACTCAATGGTAAAGAATCTGCCTACGAATCCCAGAGCCACAAGAGATGTCAGTTTGCTCTTTGGATTGGGAAGAGCCCTTGAAGGAGGAAATGGCAACCCGCTCCAGTGTTCTTGCCTGGAGAATTCCATGGTCAGAGGAGCCTGGTGGGCTACAGTCCATGGGTTCCCAAAGAGTTGGACATGACTGAGTGACTTTCACTTTCCAGAAACCAGAGGCTCTTATCAGAGTAATGCACTCTGACCAATGTTATCAGTTCAGTTCAGTTCAGTTCAGTCACTCAGTCGTGTCCGACTCTTTGCGACCCCATGAATTGCAGCACGCCAGGCTTCCCTGTCCTTCACCAACTCCTGGAGTTTACTCAAACTCATGTCCATCGAGTTGGTGATGCCATCCAGCCATCTCATCCTCTGTCGTCCCCTTCTCCTCCTGCCCCCAATCCCTCCCAGCATCAGGGTCTTTTCCAGTGAGTCAACTCTTCACATGAATTGACCAAAGTACTGGAGTTTCAGCTTCAGCATCAGTCCTTCCAATGAACACCCAGGACTGATCTCCTTCAGGATGGACTGGTTGGATCTCCTTGCAGTCCAAGGGACTCTCAAGAGTCTTCTCCAACACCACAGTTCAGAAGCATCAATTTTTCGGTGCTCAGCTTTCTTCACAGTCCAACTCTCACATCCATACGTGACCACTGTTATAAGAAGATGCAAATTTTCTTGGCCATGGATCCAACCAAATAGTAGAATTAGTCAACAAGACAGAATGTTAAGTTTTTTGTTAAAGAGGAAAGTATCTCGTGCCTAAAATGATTCAGTTGTGAATATGCTCCATAGTAAAGAATGGTCTCTCTTATTTCTGTGACTCAGTTTTCCAAAAGAATTGCAAAGATAAGACTTATAGAGTTTTAAAGGTTTCTTGGATCATTTAAGTAGGTGTTCTCTTCTTGCTGGTACCTTTTATATTAAAGAAAAAAAAAAGCTTAAGAAAAAGCAGTTAATTTAGCAGGATCTGACAGGTTCAAATCTACTCACATCAGATGGGAAGTAATCATAGGAGATGATTTTTCTTTTTTCCCCCTAGAAACAAATTACTTGGGAGAAGTGTTTAAAATCTGTGAGCCTCTTAGATAAAAGCAAATTATTTTACATGATCGATGAGATTCATCGAACTGCCAAATATGTTGTGCACTGAAAATAGGCTTAATTTACTTTGTTATGGTGAGTTTGTATTTGTTCTAAGATAAAACCAGTGATCACAAGTACAGTAGCAAAGACAGATGAAATTGGATGGAGGTCAGTTGCCAAGCCAGACCGTCAGTGATCCCTTGTAAACTAATGACTAGATTTTTATCTAGAAGTTGAGAAACAAAACTCATTTTGAGACATAATTTAAAAGGTCTTTAGGTCTTGTGTCTTTTGAGAAAGTATTAACTCTCTCAATGGCATGTTAAGAAAAATGGTGTTAAGTTCAGGGGATATAAAGTTTAACGTCAGCTTTACTGCTGAAGAGCCATGAGTTTCATTCAAGTCCTGACCTCTATTTTCAACCTTCAGTGAGGAGAATGGATGATAATTTGGTGTGTGTTAATATCCCTTTCAGCTCTGAACTTATTTCAGTAAAATGGGAAAAAATAAATTAAAAGAATGGTTATCTGACCTCCTTCATCATAGTTATTTTATGACATGTGAGTGACAAGGGGTAGTAATTTTGTGAGATCTCTAGTTGATTGAAAATTAGAATATAAAAAAATTTGAAAGCTTTGATGTACATATTTTGGTTTCTTTTTCTACAAAACAAGGTGATGTCGTGTTAACAAGTAATGTCTATCAATTCAGTTTACTTCTTGAATATTTTTTGTTAGCTTGGCATTCTTTATTTTTTTAAATAGAACTCTGGCTACTTGCTGAGGGTTTTATTTTGACATATGCTTATAAAACTTGTGGTGATCAAGGTATATTATAGAACATCCTGAAAGAAAACACCCATTAAACTTTTTCTGGCTTATAACCCTGATGGTTGATCGTACTGATATACAAGTGAAAATCTTAACATATTTCAGCACTTGGCCATTTAAATTTGAATAATCATTTTAAGTGCTCACCTGGTTAAGAGAGAAAGGTAGTAAGATGTCTTTGTTTGGGTTAATATGTATGTTTCTGATATAAAGTGAAATCTAATAAATTTTGGATAGTTTTGACTAATTTAGATAATGACAATCTGGAGAAAACTCTGCTCTTTATGTGCTTTCTAAAGAAATTCACCAAGATATTAGGGGGAAAAAAATCCAGAAAAGGAGGGGAAAGCCCAGTGAATTCTGAGACAGATATCTGCAGAAATGACTTGGCAGTCCTCAGAGATGAAATGACTTACTTAAAAGATAGGCCATCTGTTTATCAGCCTTATTTCTATCCTCAGGGCTTTTCTTGAAGAAAGCCCTTCTAGAAGAGGGCTGTTATCCTTATGTCAATAATATAAACTGATCTTCTCTGATGTTACACTTTTCTTACCTAACTTTTTTATTTTCCTAAACTGCTGTACAGACTATCATGAGGAAAAGAAAGTCTTAAATGGTAAGTCGTATACATTTATAGTAAAAAACTGAATCATATTCACATGATTGTATACAAAGTTGCCTTACAGAATTATTTGGGATATTTAGGTATTTTTATGCAAAAGATGTGCTTACTTGCCTAAGCTTAGAGGATTTGACAGGACTCTGTAGATCCCTTATTGAAGCCATGACTCCATCTATAGTCCTTTCTATGGCATCTCTGAGCTTGTGTTCATCTGTCCTCAGCTGGAATACAGTAAGTCCCCTATATATGAACGAGTTCTGTTCCGAGAGTGTCTTCATAAGTCCAGTTTGTTCCTAAGTCCAACAAAGTTAGCCTAGGTACCCAACTAGTACAATAGGCTATATAGTAGTGTACTGTAACAGATTTATAATACTTACCACACAAATAATGCATAAAGAAGACAAAAAATAAAGAAAACATTTTTAGTCTTATAGTACTTTGAAAAGTACAGCGGTACCAGTTGCATCACTGCTGCTTTTGCACTTGCTTCCCAGTATCCTGGGCTTGAAATAAAGATACTCTGTACCCAGCTTCCCAGGTGGCACTAGGGGTAAAGAACCCAGCTGCCAGTGCAGAAGGTGTAAGAGATACAGGTTCAATCCCTTGGTGGAGATCGCCTGGAGGAGGGCATGCAACCCACTCCAGTATTCTTGCCTGGAGAACCTCATGGACAGAGGAGGCTGGAAAGCTGTAGTCCATGGGGTCGCAGAGAGTCGGACACAACTGAAGCAGCTTAGCACACGTGCAGTCTATACAGAAATGTACAGCACAGTACACAAAAGCGCAATACTTGCAGAGGATGCACGCGTGCGGCAATGTACACCACACACAGGGATTGAGTGACGTGCCCGGACATGTGCATGCACGTTCGCAGCTTTGAGAGCTCGAGGCTTGAAGGGTCTTGTGTAGGGGACTTCACTACACTTGCGCTGACTAGGAGCTGCCCCTCCGATGCCAGGCTGAGGACACCTCTCCCTCGGGCACAGGGCTCTCCTCCAGTGTCTCTGCAGATACTGAGTCGCCTACTAATCACCTCTTCTCTGGGCTTGGCAGCTCTCCTCAGCCATTCACTGTGATTTGGAATCATGACTGACACTACCCCTAACCCCTCAGAAATTTTGGTGTGAGACTTTCAAAACTGCCTGGGGCTACTCTGACTGAACTGTAATACTAATATATGTTTTAAAACGCATTTTTTTTTCTTTCTATTTTGGAAAAGAAAGTTACAGAAATTCAGCTAACAAGCTGGATTGCCAGATGAATGACCTCTTCTTTTACAAGTAGAGAAAACAGTCTTTTTATAGACTGATGTATGCAGCTTGTGATGGTGCCACCTGAATCTGTTTGTCTGACGGGGTCACCGCAGTAAAGGAAGGACTCTTCTTGGGTTTCGGCTCATACTTTACTCTTCCATAATGCTAGGCAAACAGCCTTTCCTTAAAGGCTAATTACTGATTGTCTGGGTACTTTCTTTCCCGCCACATTGCTTTCCTTTGGATGCATAGCATTTAACATCTCAGTTAACACTGGCCTTAAAAATGTGATGTTACATTGTCCAGTGGTCTGGCCAGCATAGTTACCTCTTTTATGTGACTGTGTGTGCCTCAAATATTTGGCTTATATGAGTGTCTGTGGTTAAGTCTGCACGTTCACAGACGCCATCTGCCTGCCTCCTGTGTCATCATTTAAACTTCATGTAAAACACTGAAGCCAGCATTCCTCCAGAGACCTAATTTCCTCAAATTGACATAAGTCCATCAGTTCGCTCGTGTTTTAACAGAAGATTCTCTGGATAAGAAGAATTTTGAAAACCTCTAAACTACCATGTCTCCTAGGTGCCTCCCAACACTGACTTTATATAATTACCATGACTTCTAATTGAGAATTCTAAGACTTGCCAAAGCCTAAATTTTTTTTTTCCTGCACAAAGAGTACACTCCTATTATAGAAGAAAAATAGTTAATGTTCACAGAATCTCTGAAGCTCTTCCCTATTCTCAGAGTTTTCAAAAACAAGTCAAAAACCAGAGCCTTGGTGACCATTTAAAATGTGATGAGACAAAAAAAAATAAAAAATAAAATGTGATGAGACACACCCACAAGAAAATCTGAAATGAAAAAGACAGAACCATGTGTCAGCAAGGTAGTGGAGCAGCCAGGCATCCAAACCCTTATGGTAAAAATTGTAAGTTAGTGTGACCTTTTTGGAAAACTGGTTAGCAGTATTTACTAAAGCTAAACATACTCATGTCCTGTATATCTACCAGATATGTAGATGGATGTTCTTTAAGAATGAGTGTGTACATGTACCAAGAATATTAATACATATTCTCTTTGGCTATACATAATAGCCAAAAACTGCCCAAATATCCATCAACAATAGAATGAATAGATTCTAGTATATGGTATATGGTATATTCAGAGAGTGTAATAATACTCAGTAGTAAAACAGAACAAACTACTAATGCATTCAGCAGCATGGATAACATTTCAGAAAACTCCAGACCTGACTCATTGCTTACTGTTAATTATGCTAATTTGACATTAACTGCAACATCAATGGAACTGTCCCAAAAACCCAGACCAAAAGAGAGCATGTTTTATGATTCCACTTTTTTATAAAGGCCAAATGCAGGCAAAAACTAATTATGATGTTAAAAGTCAGAATAGTGATTATCTTGGGGGAGAGGTGGTGAATGGGAGGGCGCAGGGAGGGTCTTGGTTACAAGGATATATTTCACAGATGAAAATTCATTGAGGAGTATATTTGTGACTTGTCTCCTTTTATAATATTTCAATAAGAAGTTTACTGGAGAGATGGGGTGAAGAAAAGAAAAATGCTATGTAGATGAACTGTAGTTATTTTGTTTATTTTTCTTTGTGAAGGCATGCTTCCTCAGAGCCAAGTGACAGATACACTTGCCAAAGAAGGTCCTAGTTCTCCAAGGTATGCTTTTTAATTTTACTTTCTTTAAAACTTAATCAGTTCTACACCAAAATGTGCACATTTAAAAAAAGGCTCTAAGTTTGATTTATTGCTTATTATATTAGTCATGCTTTTTTGACACAAGAACTGCACTGCCTCATTTATCAGACATTATTGAAAAATGAGCTGTTCCTTAAATATGAATTTTTAGCATAACTGAAGTTTAACCCATTTTAAATACCACAACTTAAAAAAAACAACTATTTAAAACTATTTTTTTCTGATTATCACGTATATATTCATGGTAGCAAACTTGGGAACATGGGGAAATACAAAAGAAAGTGATAAAAGTTGGTCCCATCAACCCTAGATATATACTGTTAATATTTGGTTTATTCTATCCACTTTGATTCGTGTAGTACCTATTTCCATATTATTCTGACAGTATCAGTATTACAGTATATTCTGTGATCAATTTTGTATGTCATGAAATATTCTGCAAAGGCATTTTTTGGTCTGTATTCCATCATATGATGGAAATTGATCAAGTATCCATAATTTATTCAACTGCAATATGCTTCCCTAGTGACTCAGTGGTCAAGAATCCTTCTGCTAATGCAGGAGATGCAGGTCCAACCCCTGGGTCAGGAAGATCCTCTAGAGAAGGAAATGGCAACTCACTCCAATATTCTTACCTGGGAAATCCCATGGACAGAAGGAGGAGCCATGCAGCTACAGTCCATGGGGTTGCAAAAGAGTCAGACACATCTTAGCAACTAAACAACATCATTGTTTTGTATGTCTAGTTTGTTTTATCAGTTTCTTAATGAAAATTCTTGGAAATGTATTGCACTGTCTTAGTAAATTAAGCAATCCATATATAATTTTGTTAATGATATTTCACATGCCCTAGGGTTATGTGTGTTATTTGTCGTTTTTCTCTTACCACCTTTCCCCACAAGGTGAGTCTGTAACAGTAGCATTCTGCTATACTTGTTATATCTGTTATTTCATATACAATTTTAAGTTAAGGGCCTCGGGGTATCTCTTGTAAGATTCACACTCGGGGCCTGTGTACAGGTAGTAAGAACAAAAACTGAATCAATTTGATCAGAAGTTTTACAAAACATGATGTAGCATTTCCTTAAATTTTTGCTATTGACTGTTAAATTGACTGTTAAATACCGATGGTGAGTTAATTTCGTCGGTAATATATTTGTGACAGGGAAGAGTCAAGGTAATAAGCACGTAGATTTTGTCATTTTCCTTCAGAAAACATGTTGTGTTATTGCTCTGATACAAGGCATTTTAGATGTGTAACCTTTATAAAAAGTGTCTTGTCAAGGAGGTGGTTTGTTTTAATCCAAGTTGGTATACCTATAGTATATATCCATGTATCTACTGGTATACATGAAGTATTGTTGTTCAGTTACTAAGTTGTGTCTGACTCCTTGCAGCCCCATGGAGTACAGCAAGCCAGGCTTCCCTGTCCTTCACCATCTCCCAGAGTTTGCTCAAACTCATGGTCATTGAGTCGATGATGCCATCCATTCATCTTATCCTCTGTCGCCCCTTCTCCTCATGCCCTCAGTCTTTCCCAGCATCAGGGTCTTTTCCAACAAGTCGACTCTTCCCATCAGGTGACCAAAGTATTGGAGCTTCAGCATCAGTCCTTCTATTGAATACTCAGAGTTGATTTCCTTTAGGATTGACTTGTTTGATCTACTTGCAGTCCAACAGATTCTCAAGAGTCTTCACCAGCACCACAGTTCAAAAGCATCAATTCTTTGGCGTTCAGCCATTTTTATTGTCCAGCTCTCAGATCTGTACATGACTGTTGGAAAAACCACAGCTTTGACTATACAGACCTTTGTCAGCAAAGTGATGTCTCTGCTTTGTAATATGCTGTCTAGGTTTATCATAGCTTTCCTTCCAAGGAACAAATGTGTTTTAATTTCATGGTTGCAGTCACCATCTGTAGTGATTTTGGAGACCAAGGAAATAAAATCTTCCACTTTTTCCCCTTCTATTTGCCATGAAGTGGTGGGACCAGATGCCACAATCTTCATTTTGTTAATGTTGAATTTTAAGCCAGCTTTTTTTCACTCTCCTTTTTCACCCTCATCAAGATGCTCTTTAGTTCCTCTTTGATTTCTACGATTAGTGTAGTATCATCTGCATGTCTGAGCTTATTGATATTACTGCCAGCAATCTTGATTCCAGTTTGTGATTCATCCACCCTGGCATTTTGCATGGTATTCTGCATATAAGTTAAATAAGCACGGTGACAGTATACAGACTTGACATACTCCTTTCCCAGTTTTTGAACCAGTCTATTTGCCATGTCCAGTTCTTACTGTTGCTTCTTGACTTCTTGACCTGTATACAGATTTCTCAGGAGACAGGTAAGTTAGTCTAGTATTCCCATCTCTTTAAGAATTTTCCACAGTTTGTTGTGATCCACACAGTCAAAGGCTTTAACATAGTCAGTGACGAGAAGTAGATGCTTTTCTGGAATTCCATTGCTTTCTCTAATGGATGTTGGCAATTTTGATCTCTGATTCTTCTGCCTGTTCTAAATTCAGCTTGTACATCAGGAAGTTCTTGGTTCACATACTGCTGAAGCCTAGCTTGAAGGATCTTGAGCATTACCTTGCTAGCGTGTGAAATGAGTGCACTTTTATGGTTGTTTGAACGTTCTTTGGCATTGCCTTTCTTTGGTACTGGAATGAAAACTGACCTTTTCCAGTCCTGTGGCCACTGCTGAGTATTCCAAATTTGCTGATGAATTGAGCTGACTTTAACAGCATCATCTTTTAGGATTTGAAATAGCTCAGCTCGAATTCCATCACCTCCACTAGCTTTGCTGGCTTCCTAAGGCCCCCTTGACTTCACACTCCAGGATGTGTGGAGTCTCTAGGTGAGAGATCACACACCATCATCGTTATCTGGATCACTGTGATATTTTTTGTATAGTTCTTTTGTGTTTTATTACCATCTCTTCTTAATCTCTTCTGTTTCTCTTAGGTCCTTGCCGTTTCTGTCATTTCATTGTGCCCATTCTTGAATGAAATGTTCCCTTGATATCTCCAGATTCCATGAAGAGATTTCTGTTCTTCTCCATCCTGTTGTTTACCTCTTTTCTCTGCATTGTTCACTTAGGAAGGCTTGCTTTTCTCCCCTTATGCAGAGTCTGGAGTGCAGAGTTTTGGAACTCTGCCTTCAGGTGGGTATATCTTTCCTCTTTCCTTTGCCTTTGACTTCTCTTCTTCCGTCAGCTCTTTGTAAAGCCTTCTTAGACAACCAGTTTGCCTTCTTGCGTTTCTTTTTCTTTGGAGGGGTTTTGATCAACACCTGCTGTACAATGTTACAAACCTCTGTCCGTAGTTTTCCAGGCACTCTGTGTACCAAATCTAATCCCTTGAATCTCTTTGTCACTTCCACTGTAAAATCATAAGAGTTTTGATTTAGGTCATATCTGAATGACTTCGTGTTTTTCCCTACTTTCTTCAATTTAAGCCTGAACTTTGCAGTGAAGAGCTCATGATCTGAGCCACAGTCAGCTCCAGGTCTTATTTCTACTGACTATATAGAGCTTCTCCATCTTTGGCTGCAAAGAATATAATCAATCTGATTTCAGCATTGACCATCTGGTGATGTCTGTGTGTGGAGTCACCTCTTATGTTGTTGGAAGAGGGTGTTTGCTATGACCAGTGTGTTCTCTTGACAAAACTCTGTTAGCCTTTGCCCTGCTTCATTTTGTACTTCAAGGCCAAACTTGCCTGTTACTCCAGGTATCTCTTGACTTCCTACTTTTGCATTCCAATCCCCTATGATGAAAAGGACATCTGTTTTTGGTGTTAATTCTAGAAGGTCTTGTAGGTCTTCATAGAATTGGTTAACTTCAGCTTCTTTGGCATTAGTGGTTGGGGCATAAACATGGAAGTATAGGCATTTTAAATTGAGAAATAATTGTGAGTTATTTCATCTCATACTACTGATTATTTAGTGAAAAATTTCCTACAAAAAATATATTTCTTACTGTAGGTTTTAAAATACATGTTTTAAATCATGTATCTATTGTGTCATATGTTTTTTTGATTGTATATATTTTAAAATTATATCTTTAATGGTTAATTTATGTTAATGCATGTAACTATTCATTCTTTTTTGAATATTTTACAGCTATGACTGGTTCCAAACAGACTCTTTAGTCACCATCGTCATATATACTAAACAGAAGGTAAACATGTTTTTTTAACATCAGAAAAAAATAAATAATAAGCTCCATGCAGGCACATTTCGGGGCACTTATCTTGTGTTAACTTACAGCAGCTCTATGAGATAGACCCTTTCATTATCCCTGTTTTACGGGTGCAGAAACAGAGAGTAGATAATTTAGCAGAGTCACACGGTAAATGGCAGAGCTAACATTGTGATCCCAGGCAGGCTGGCTCCATAGTATATGCTCCTAACAGACAAGCCATAGCATCTCAGGAAAAAAACAGGAAGTAGTGGGTTGGCCAAGAAGTTCGATCCTATTTTTCCATAACATCGTACAAAAACCCGAAGAAACCCTTCAGCCAATCCATTATTTTATATGCTCTTCTGTGATTTTGTTTGTTTTTGTGCATGGATAACAGCAGTGAGTTACCCTTGGACTGCAAGGAGATTAAACCAGTCAATTCTAAAGGAAATCAGTCCTGAATATTCATGAAAAGGACTAATATTGAAGCTGAAACTCCAGTGCTTTGACCATCTGATGCGAAGAACTGATTCATTGGAAAAGACCCTGATGCTGGGAAAGATTGACGGCAGGAGGAGAAGGGGACGACAGAGGAAGAGATGATTGGATGGCATCACTGGCTCGATGGACATGAGTTTGAGCAAGCTCCGGGAGTTGATGATGGGACAGGGAAGCCTGGCGTGCTGCAATCCATGGGGTCACAAAGAGTCGGACACGAGTGAACAAATGAACTGAACTGAACAGCAGTGAGAGTCCCAGTTAAACTTCACCTTATGGACTGGTTTCCTGCACATGTATTGTAATTCAAGAGACAGGAGAGAGTATTGCTGTATCTTAGTATGCTTAAGCTACTAACTGGCTTTAGATGTCCTCTGGAAACTAAAATTAGGGAATTAACTCATTCATTAAGTATTTATTGAACACTGCTTCATTATGGACACTGCTGTAGAATTCAGAAATCTACAGGTGGGCCAGATTCATAGAGACTGAGATCTCGCCAGGCTTATAGTCCAGCCTGGGAAATCAGATGAATAAGCAGGCAACGTACACCATCTCCAGGCACATCCACCAGCAGCCTGAAGGGTCTCCACACTTGAGGAACCATAGAGATTTAGAGACAAGTTCTGGCAACAAGGGATTCCCAAGAATTCATGCTACTTGTGTCGTGGCAGAACTACATCTGAGTGAGTGAGTTCCTCCTCCTCCTGAAGTAGGATTTGGTGATCCTGCCGGAGTGGTCAGCCTCTGTCTGAAAGAGCCAGGATGTCCGGGGCACTGCTTGTCCCACCTCCTACTCCCTCCTCACCACGCAGTCTAGAACCAAGAGGGTAGGGCCTAGGGAGCCTGGGATCCATCTCTTCCCGTTGGCGATACCAGTGAGGCACAGAGGGTGGATGACTGAGGGCAAGGGGGAGCTTACTGTGTGGAAAGATGTGTTCCTTGTGTAAATGACAGGCACAATAATAACTTGCATCAAAGCTATGTAGAAACTAGAGACATCTGAAAAGTTGTTAGTGAATTGTTTTTTGGGCTTTTTTTGATAAGCTGAGCTTAAGAAGTTGTGTTAAGACAGTCCCTTTTGCTTAGAGTTTACAGATTAATGGGTAAGGTAGACATTAAGCATAGACAAATATGTAGTTAAAATTATGACGTATGCTTTGAAGGAGAAGAATGAGGTTGTATGAGAGAGCAAAAAACAGGAGTAATGTGGATTTAGCTTGTGGGCTCTGTAAATAATTACCATGTGAACTTCCACTGATCAGCTTAAACATATAATGATAGAGTTTAGAAAAAAGTTTACTTTCTCTTCTCGATTTCTGTTTAAGGATATCAATTTAGATTCAGTAATAGTTGATCATCGGGATGATTCCTTTAGAGCTGAGACAGTCATCAAGGATTATTCATACCTTGTACATGTTGGTAAGTAACTTATTCTATATTCGTGGAAACAACTTTTGTTTACTTACAGTCGTAGCTGGTTGTAGAGTCTTGATAACTATAATATTTTATCTGCTACTGTCATTTTGGTTTGCCATTTTAAAGATTTATTTATTTACTTATTTTTAGCTATGCTGATCTTTGTTCCTATGTGGACTTTCTCCCTAGTTGCGGCAAGTGGGGTCTACGCTCTAATTGCCGTGCATGGGCTTCTTCTTGTGGTGTCTTCTCTTGTTGTGGAGCATGGATTCCAGGGCAAGCTGGCGTTAGTAGTTCTGGCACATGGGCTCCGTAGTTACAGCTCCCGGGCTCCGGAGCACAGGCTCAGTAGTTGTGGCGCCCGGGCCCAGCTGCTCCATGGCCTGTGGGACCTTCCTGGACTACGATCGAACCTGTGTCTCCTGCATTGGCAGGTCTTCATCACTGAGCCACCAGGGAAGCCTGCTTTGTCATTTTTTGATCAGTTTTTGTTTTGCTTTCCTTTTTTCCATTGTTTCTTTATACTAGTGAAAGGGCTAGCAAATGGCAGTATGACCTCACTTTTTCCAAATTTAAACGGTTAGATTAGACGTGATTGAAATCAGTCATATGAAATACTTGCCAGCCCAGCTTTGTAAGATCGTATTACTTAATACCTGCAAACACATCTGCAGGGGCCTGCCTGTCATGTGCTCCTGCTGAGTGGACGTCACCAGGTGCTGTTCCATTGGCCTCTCTCTTGCCAGCTGTCATGGGAAGTCAGCGGCTACGTTGCAGTAGCCTGGGCCACAAGGCTGTACTATACCCTCGCTGCCTGTCCCGTCACAGCCAGAGACCAACAATATAATTCACTTCTGTCTGTTCTGAGAGGTTGCAAATATATCAGGAGAAAGAACTCAGGACTGAAATCTGGAATCAAAGGTATTAATAGCAGATTCTTAATCCATTTCTCACCTGTTAATGACTCTAGGATTTCATCCTTTTCTCCTTTAAAGACTGTAATTTTATTCCAGTTAGAAAGTAAAAATGAAACAAACCAAAACAAACCAAATCAACAAGAAGAAAACTGTATCTTAAGCATGCATTCTTATGTCAAGAATGTTCTGTTTACTTTTGTAAAACAAACTGAAAATCTCCAGACTCAGCTGACTTGGGATTCCCTCACGGCTTTCTTAATGAAGGACCTTTAGTCCTGAATGTGATTGAAGTTGATAAATGTTTTTTGTTTCTTATTTTCCCCCTTTCATTAGATTAATCAACCTCAAATCTTAAACCTTTCTTCTGGAAATACATCCTATCTTATTTTTTACCAGCATAAGATCTAATATATATTTCCTCTTAGGAAGAGTATTAACAACAACAAAAAAAAAACCCAGATGTCTAAAAAAGTATATATTATTCATTAGATCTGTCATGATTTTTTTTAACGAAGACTTCTGTGTCAGCATTTATTATGTTTCACATATTTTATGGCTAGTTTTGTTCACACCGTAGCTAACCGTAGCTAGCACATGCATGAAACAACAAAAACTCCACAGTCAAAAATGTGAAACTCCTGGTTGCTAATATTAAATCAGAATCAAAATTGTAAGTTTCACAGAATCATATTAACATAGAGAACTTTAGAACAGATGTTTGTAAAAATACTTACATCTCCCCCTTCTGGGATGTAAGTTCTGGAAGGGCACAGATTTTTCCCTTTCATCAACTGTGGTACTAACAGCATCTGCAAAGTGTGTGACACGGTTCAGTTCAGTTCAGTCAGTCGTGTCCAGCTCTTTGCAACCCCATGAACCGCAGTACACCAGGCCTCCCTGTCCATCACCAACTCCCGACGTTTACCCAAACTCATGTCCATTGAGTTGGTGATGCCATCTAACCATCTCTTCCTCTGTCATCCCATTCTCACCCTGCCCTCCATCTTTCCCAACATCAGGGTCTTTTCTAATGAGTCACCTCTCTGCGTCAGGTGGCCAAAGTATCAAGAGTTTCAGCTTCAACATCAGTCCTTCCAATGAACACCCAGCACTTATCTCCTTCAGGATGGACTGGTTGGATCTCCTCACAGTCCAAGGGACTGTTAAGAGTCTTCTCCAACACCATAGTCCAAAAGCATCAATTCTTTGGTGCTCAGCTTTCCTTATAGTCCAGCTCTCATATCCATACATGACTACTGGAAAAACCATAGCCTTGACTAGTAGACGGACCTTTGTTGGCAAAGTAATGTCTCTGCTTTTTAATATGCTGTCTAGGTTGGTCATAACTTTCCTTCCAAGGAGTAAGCGTCTTTTAATTTCATGGCTGCAGTCACCATCTGCAGTGATTTTGGAGCCCAAAAAATAAAGTCTGACACAGTTTCCCCATCTATTTGCCATGAAGTGAATGGACTGGATGGCATGATCTTAGTTTTCTGAATGTTGAGCTTTAAGCCAACTTTTTCACTCTCCTCTTCCACTTTCATCAAGAGGCTCTTTAGTTCTTCTTCATTTTCTGCCATAAGGGTGGTGTCATCTGCATATCTGAGGTTATTGATATTTCTCCCAGCAATCTTGATTCCAGCTTGTGCTTCCTCTAGCCCAGCGTTTCTCATGATGTACTCTGTATATAAGTTAAATAAGCAGGGTAACAATATACAGCCTGACTTACTCCTTTTCCTATTTGGAAGCAGTCTGTTGTTCCATGTCCAGTTCTAACTGTTGCTTCCTGACCTGCATACAGGTTTCTCAAGAGACAGGTCAGGTAGTCTTGTATCCCCATCTCTTTAAGAATTTTCCACAGTTTATTGTGATCCACACAGTCAAAGGCTTTGGCATAGTCAATAAAGTAGAAGTAGGTGTTTTTCTGGAACTCTTGCTTTTTCGATGACCCAACGGATGTTGGCAATTTGATCTCTGGTTCCTCTGCCTTTTCTAAAATGAGCTTGAACATCTAGAAGTTCACAGTTCATGTATTGCTGAAGCCTGGCTTGGAGAATTTTGAGCATTACTTTACTAGCATGTGAGATGAGTGCAATTGTGTGGTAGTTTGAGCATTCTTTGGCATTGCCTTTCTTTGGGATTGGAATGAAAACTGACCTTTTCCAGTCCTGTGGCCACTGTTTTCCAAATTTGCTGGCATTTTGAGTGCAGCACTTTCACAGCATCATCTTTTAGGATTTGAAATTGCTCAGCTGGAATTCCATCACCTCCACTAGCTTTGTTCATAGTGATGCTTCCTAAGGGCCAGTTGACTTCACATTCCAGGATGTCTGACTCTAGGTGAGTGATCACACCATCATGATTATCTGGGTCATGAAGATTCTTATACAGTTCTTCTTAATGACTATCCAACTTAGAGAACAGTAAGAAAAGAAAAATTTATCCAGACCCAGACCTGGCCTGTCCTCACACACACATACGCACAGCCTGGAGCTTGTGTGTTTCACATGCTGCCTCTCTCCCTGCCCTGCTCCTTTCTTGGTTTGCAGGATTTGTCAGGCTGGGACCATCCTTAAACCAGTGTGGCTTACCCATTTGTGGGCAATTGAGTATTTACTCTTTAATTAATAAGGAGAGAAATGGAACAACTAAAGGAATATATTTAAATTATTTTTCTCAAAGTATTTGAGAAAACAAAAACAAAGTTTTTGTTGTATTCAGTTTTTTCTTATGGTTTCTTAGGATATGTTTGAGAGATTTGAAATAGTGCATGAAAGAACCATTTGAATGATCTTATACAGTGTTTGTAGACTGTAGGAATTGAAGTTGAATCTTAACTGAATTTTTTTCTTTTTCTCCAGCCCTAAGTCATGAGATTCAGGAAGATTTTTCTGGTAAGCTACCAACATAATGTATGTATGTACATATACTCACACACACAAACATACACACCTATAGGGGGACAGCTACCAATGTAATGTATATATGTACATATACAGACATATACATACGCATGTATGAGGGGACAGCAGTTTGTCTTATTGTTCATATGTATATTTTCATGTTGCAGAACAGGGATATGATGTTTTCATATAAACATACATGTTAATTTTTACATATACCTTTTCCCTGTGGTTTCAGTTCTTCCCACCCCTTGCTCCTTTTCCTTATTCATTTCATCTTTGCCCTTTTCATTTCCTCTCATTAGAAAAAAAATTCCTGTCTCCGTTCTTCCCCTCCTGCCCTACTCCTGACATGTAGCTTGTAGAAATATACTTGACCAGACAAGTTTTTCTAAGTGTATATATAGATATTTAATATTAACAAGGGCTTCCCTGATAGCTCAGATGGTAAAGCATCTGCCTGAAATGCAGGAGACCCAAAGCATATTAAATTATGTATATCATTACATATAAATGCACAATGGATTTTACACAGCTGTTTAACAGTAAGAGATGCATCAGAGAATGGTAGTTTTTATTTCTTTAGTTTTATTGAGATATGATTGACAAAATTGTGATCTGTTTAAAGATTTGAAGTATACAAGATGTTGATTCAATAAAGGTATACATTGTGAAGATTCACACAATCCATCATCTCATAGGTTTACCTTTGTGTGTAATTTCAGTAATACAAGACAGTGTCATCAACTACAGTCATCATGTTATGCATGAGATCTCCAGACCTCATTCGCCTTACAGCTGAAAGCTCATACTCTTTTTGTCAGCCTCTTCCTACGTCCCCCTCACTCCTGACGCCTGGTGCTGTTCTGCTACTGTTTCTATGAGTTTTAATTTTTTTTTTAAATTTGCGCATATAAGTGATACCATGCAGTATTTGTCTTCTCTGTCTTATTTATTTTATTTATCTCATTTAGTATAATGCACTCTCGGTTTGTCATAGATTGTTGCAACTATCAGGATCCCCTTTTTTAAGGCTGAATAATATTCCATTCTGTTTTCGTATATGTGTGGTTTCTTGTCTAAAGCACTGTGAGATTGCCTCACACTGGCCCTGTGCCTCCCTTTTTCTGCATTCACCATGGTAAGCTCTGTAAATCAGACTAATTCAGCTCTTTGAAGTCAAGGGCTTTCTATGTTTATCAAGCTTCCAATCAGGGCCCATGGGATCGAATTCATCCGACCGCTCTGTCTTTAAGAGTTACTAAATTGCTGCTGATTTTTATGTTTATAGTGAGGAAGGATAATATTGTTTCTAAAGGCAAAAAGAAATATACTTTAAATCTTTAAAAACACATTTGATTCACAAAATATAATCACCTTTTAAAGCTTATTATATATATTCATATATCCTAAACTATTTCAAATATTCAAAAATAAAAAGATAATATAAAAGATTTTTAATTATCAAAGATTGATAATTATAAGGATAATTTATAGGTATTCATTCTCCTGGAGCCTTTTCTGTTTATTAAGCTCAGTATTGGTTTACTGAATTCACTGATAAGACTCTCTCAGATCCCAAGAAATGTTAATAGAGTATAAATTAAATTTGCTTTTGTGGATTCATTCAATGGCTAGTTTGTATATTTAAGGTTTTTTTTTTTTAAAGCTGTGTGTTAGTTGCCATGGCTCTATTTGAGCTTGTATGAAAACCAGCATTATGTATTAGTTTGGCCCCTGATATATTAATTTGAAAGGAGTTAATCTGAATTTACGATAAACTGGATTTAACATCATATAAGGCATAAACAATTTTGAGCAATATGTACCAAAAATTTTATTTATTTCAGTAATGATCAATGTCATTCATATCAGATCAGAACATTTGGGTTGTTTGAGAAAGACTGGTTTAAAAATAAACTCTCACATTTAATATCAATGAATACAAATGGAGTTTATCTTCTTTTCAGTGCTAGTTGTTGAGAATGTGGGAAAAATAGAGATCGTCCTGAAGAAAAAAGAGAATACTTCTTGGAAACGCCTTGGTCATCCCCTGGAGAATCATAATTCATTTATTCCAAAGAAAGATACAGGTAGACTATGCTGTTATTTTGAGTCCTGGGTTCATGAAAATGTATGTCAGTGGCTCAGTTGTACCAGAATTTGGAGGGCCACTTTCACTGAGCCAAAGGGTCCCTGTATCTCTTTCTAAGGAATTGAAATGGGGCATTGGGGTTGTTATCCTCCTTTTTTAGTTTTTTAAACAGAGATTACATTTCTGACTCTACCGTCTAATATTTAGGCATAATGGGGTCATTAAGTAATGATAGCTAAATGGAGAATACCCACTTAGACCTTTCATTCCTTCACTCCTTCACTCCTCCAAGTTCCCTTTTACAAAAGGTGCAAAAACAAGTAAAGTTTATGCCCTGTAGGTACATCTAATTTTTTTCTGTTAGAGAAGGCACGTTTATTGCCTCTATGCTTACCTAAACCAGTTTCTGAGTTTACTTCCTAAAGATAATACCGTTCATTTTCTTCCTTTATTTTTCAGAGCTTTTAATTTAAGTGTAACATCAAAGGTGCGTGATATAAGTGTTCCACTTGATGGATTTTCACAAAGTGAATACACTCCTTGTTTTCTTTGGCAATTGGTAGGATTTGCCTCTTGTTCCAAGTGTTTTGAAATTTCATAGTTTGATAGACCTTAATGGAGGTCTGTTTTCAACTTTTGTGCCAAATGGTCATCCTTTGTGCTAATCTTTCCATTATGGAAACTTAAGACCCATGTGTCTGGAAAGTACTGATCTGTCTTCCCTCCATGGTCTGCTTTTACTTTTTAGAAGTGTTCTTTTTTTTTTAAGACTTTTTAAAAAATATATTATTTTTTATGTGTTTTATTTTTGGCTGCACTGGGTCCTTTGATGTGGCACGCCTGCTCTTCATCGATGTGCTCGGGCTTTGGCTAGTGCGGTGCTCAGCTTCACGTTGCAGTGGCTTCTCTTGTTGAGGAGCTGCGCTCTAGAGCGTGCAGGCTCAGTAGCTATGGTTTAGTCACCCCATGACATGTGGGATCTTAGTTCCCAGACCAGGGATGGAATCCATGTCCCCTGCTTTAGTAGGTGGGATTTTAACCACTAGACCACCAACCAGGGAAGTCCCTAGAAGTGTTCTTATTTTAAGCCTTTTTAACCAGTTCTCTATTTATCTTGTCTTTTCTCTCTCATTTTCAGTTTTGTCCTTTTGTTCTACTTCTTGGGAGTTGTTTTCAGCTGTGTCTTCTAACTCTGCTGTTCAGTAACATTTCTACTTTCATATTTTTAACTTCAGAGAATTCTTTTGATTTTTGTTTATTTGTTTTAGCATCCTATTTACTCCGTTCTCTTAGCTTTTTAAGAATTACTAATAGTGTTTTAGAGTTTTTGTTTCCCTGTGTAGCCTAGCCTCACTTTAGTCTGTCTTTCATATTAGATGCTTCCTTTGAATGTCTGCTGATCCTTGACTGCATGTATTTCTGGGTTGAACTCGAAAAGCTGGTTGGAAACTCTGTGTGTGGGCCTTCCTTGCTGACAGTAACATTCTCTCTGTCGCTGGTTCCTTTCTTTGGATCAGAAAAGAAACATTTGCTGTGTGGCTGGATCAGAAAAGTCTGATGCCAGTGTTTTGCTGGAGTCTCTAAACAATTTTCTACCTTGCACCCAACATTTCAAAAGTTACATGGGAAAAGAAGGCAGGGGTATCTATAAATTTTAACTTCCTTTTTAAAATTTGTTTTGTCAACTGCCCTGTATTAGTCTACTAAAGTTGCCATAAGAAAGTACCACAGACTTAGTGGGATAATGACAGAAGTTTTATTTTCTCCCAGTCTGAAGGCTGAAGTCTGACACTGAGATTCTGGTGGGGCTGGCTTCTCCCGACGTGTCTCCTTGGCTTGCAGATGGCTGTTTTCACATGGTTGCCATAAAAAAGTACCACAGACTTAGTGGGATAATGACAGAAGTTTTATTTTCTCCCAGTCTGAAGGCTGAAGTCTGACACTGAGGTTCTGGTGGGGCTGGCTTCTCCCGACATGTCTCCTTGGCTTGCAGATGGCTGTTTTCACATGGTTGCCATAAAAAAGTACCACAGACTTAGTGGGATAATGACAGAAGTTTTATTTTTCTCCCAGTCTGAAGGCTGAAGTCTGACACTGAGGTTCTGGTGGGGCTGGCTTCTCCCGACATGTCTCCTTGGCTTGCAGATGGCTGTTTTCACATGCTCTTCCCTCTGCGTCTCTGTCCCTGTTCCCTCTTCTTACAAGGACATCAGGCTCATTGGACTAGGGACCATCCAAATGACCTCCTTTTAACTTGCTTTTTAAAATACCCCATTTCACCCTAGATAATATACATGTTTCGATGCTGTTCTCTTGAAACATCCCACCCTCGCCTTCTCCCACAGAGTCCAAAAGTCTGTTCTGTACATCTGTGTCTCTTTTTCTGTCCTGCATATAGGGTTATCGTTACCATCGTTCTAAATTCCATATATATGTGTTAGTATACTGTAATGGTCTTTATCTTTCTGGCTTACTTCACTCTGTATAATGGGCTCCAGTTTCATCCATCTCATTAGAACTGATTCAAATGAATTCTTTTTAACAGCTGAGTAATATTCCATGGTGTATATGTACCACAGCTTCCTCCTCCATTCGTCTGCTGATGGGCATCTAGGTTGCTTCCATGTCCTGGCTATGATAAACAGTGCTGCGATGAACATTGGGGTGCACGTGTCTCTTTCAGATCTGGTTTCCTCGGTGACAGATCACCAGCCCAGGTTGGATGCATGAGATAAGTGCTTGGACCTGGTGCACTGGGAAGACCCAGAGGGATCAGGCGGAGAGGGAGGTGGGAGGGGGGATCAGGATGGGGAACACATGTAAATCCATGACTGATTCATGTCAATGTATGACAAAACCCACTACAATATTGTAAAGTAATTAGCCTCCAACTAATAAAAAAAAAATTTTTAATTTAAGAAAATCTAAGTAAAATAAAATAAAATTAACTTTAATACTTTAAAAAAAATAAAATAAAATAAAATACCCCATTTCCTAATACAGTGTTGGTCCTTTAATGGACCGGAACCTGGTGGTCCAGAGTCGACAATAAGAAAGTAAGAGAGAGAAAGAGGCTGATATCCCCTGGTTTACGCGGAAAGCCAATAGAGCCCTGTTCTTAGGGCGGCGCTGCTGCGCCGAGGCACCAGGCGCCCTCTCGAGTGGGTGAGAGCACAGTGCACCTTCTCGAGAGGGTCTTAGAAGCCCGGGCAAGAAAGTGAGCTCAGTGGGCCTCTGCGCTCCAAGGAATTAGCCAGAAATAGAGAAAGACAGAAAGAATAGAAAGAAAGAAAGACACGGGGACCAAAGCTCTGATGGAGCAAAGGTGTTTTAGTCAACATGGCGTGGGCATATATATTGTCTTACAAGGTGGTTATTCTCAGCAAAGATAAAGATTAAAATTCCAGACTTACAAAACATAAGACGATCCCTATCAAAGAGAGAGTTGCAAACAATCACTTTTTGCCGTATGGCTCATAAAAAGGAAGAGGGTACTTATCACTGTAACGAGAAATGCCTGGATTCCTCAGCCCCTGGAAAGGCGTGCCTCCCCTCTTAATTCCTGAATATTCAGGAATTAATAAGGGCCAGAGGGTTCCTGACAGATCCACAACAGCACACAGGAAGCCTCTTGTTAAATGCTTCCTGACAACATAGTTGCATTCTCTAGTACTGTGAACATTGAGATGCACACAGTTCAGCCTGTAAGTCATACACAATCCAGAGGCCCTTTGTTTTGCCCTCTACAAGAGAGCAAAATTCTGATATTTTTCCAGAATAATAGAGAATCAGCCTGTGGCTGTGTGAAATAGGGAAAGACTTCAGAAAGGTGGGGCTGGGGAGACAGCTAGGCTTCTTAAGTGAACTTCAATCCGGAAAGCAGTTTCAGCTCTGCCTTCCCTCTGATTCCAGACATAATTGGTCCTGCCGATTTCTGAGCCTTAATGAGATCTTGTATTACAGATGGATTGATTCTTGGCTTTTTGTATGTCTAGTTTGGGTTTTAACTTTCCAGTTAACTGAGTAAGTTCTTTCTATCCTTATAGGCTATGCCTTAAAAAACAACCAAACACTCTCACTGTCACACACACACACACACACCAACACCATCTTTGCTTTTATTTTAGGGAAGAAACTAATTGCATATATTCAGTTTACCATCTTTAAATATTTAAAACTATAAAAATATATTTGTAGATAATATTTTAATTTTCAGAAGAGTATCAGGTAGCTGCATTTTGAATACTTATTGTGTGTGGAATGCTATTTTAGGTATGTGGTATGTAACAAATAAATGGCATCAGGATTATTTTCCTAGGTGGAAGAAAGAACATACATAAACATGGGGTTAAAGAATACTTATATCAAGACATAGGCCAATAAGAGGAAGTTACTTAGTACAAACTTGAATATATTTTAAGGTAACCTTAAGTGAACAGATGAAGATCAATCTGACCTTGAATGACTCTCCATGAATGAAGGTGAATTTCAAGCAATGTTTTGAAAGTGACTTAAAAAAAAAAATCATGAAGGACTTTCCAGATATCATTACTGAATACTTATTGTGCCAGACCTTTTGCATGTGGCAGAGAAAGAAAATGTAAGCCATATGTGGGAAAGGTCAAATAGATTCATTTTCCAAGAGTAGGAGGTCTCAATTGCATGGTATAAGGTAGGCAGAAAAGAGAGGAATAATAGCAGATGCAACAGATCAGAAGAGAACACATAAAAGACCATGAAAATGAAAAAAGATATTATTGAGATAAAATCTGTTGCCCTGCAATTATCTGACTCTCTAGTGATTGAAAAATCATAGCAAACCAGATAAAAGCTAAATCCTAGAAATAAATGATACGAGAACCATGGTTGACCTCTATTTAGAAATAGTTCAAATGAACATTGTTCAAGTATTCTTCCCTATAATTTCCTGAGGCTTTCCATGAACTCTTTCATCCCTGCCATAAATTTCGACTTGAGTCGTGAGCCACCATAGTTTGC